AACATTCCTCAGGCTTGCCCCGACATCGGATCGTAATCCGGAACATATAACATAGCTGAGACCAAGGGCTAACCCCCGGGTCTTCCTATTATTCATAAACTAAATGGGCCGACATTATGGCCCTAGACCCATACAAACAAGAGGAAACTCACCTCGCACTGCTGAAGTCCCGCGGATAATCCTCTGGCTGCTAACTGGCAATTCCCCGAACTGCTGATCCTTCGGCTCCCCGAGCTATCAATACCGAAATAACACTTAGTCAAAATCCAATAATCCTTACTTGGGGTGAAATGACCGTTTCACCCCTGGCCCAACAAGATTCACAACCAAGGCCCAAAACTATCAAATCCATAAAAATCCATCAATGTCTCAATTTTCCAAATTAGGCCCAAACCCTTACATGGGCCTTTCCCCAAAGGCCAATTACTTTTCTGAACTAATGATTTTCCGATGGCCCAACAGTCCAAGCCCATTGGGCCCAATCAAGGCCTAACTACATTGGGCCCACTAAGGCCCAATTCATCATCCAAGGCCTATTAGGGCAAGCCCAGCAAGGCAAGCCCAACCAAAAGTCTATTACTCTAAAATCCTTAGTCCATTATGAGCCCAAACCAAAAGACAAGTCTAATACCAAGCTAGCCCACAATCAAAGAGTCTTAAACTTGCACAGGGGCTGCTCACGTCGTGAGCTCTTCATGCTCACGTTGTGAGGTCATGGTTTTAGTCCAGGAACTTCCTCAAATACGTGCTCACGTCATGAGGCTTCATTCCTCACGTCGTGAGTCCAGATTTGACAAAAAATGAGTATTAAGCTCTTAATCCATTAAGCCTTAACATGGGACAGTTTATAGGGTCTTCTTTGACCCCAAGGACCATAAAAATCGAAGATTTTTAGTCACATATGTCCAATACATGACTTAAACACCAACTTGGGTCAAAATGAAGTAAAAAGGTCCAAGACTCAAACTTGGAGTCCAAAACCATGACCAAAATCCAGATATGAGACTTATAAAGGTTAAGGTACCACCATAATCCATAAAGTTGCCAACTTTATGGACTCAATGCATGCTAACCAACATTACAAGCCATAAAATGCATGTAAACTTAGATCTAGCAAGCAAGGAAAGGAAAGGCATGAACTTGAAGACTTACAAAGGTCCAAAAGCTCCACAACTAGCTGATGATGAACCCAAGAAGCTAACAAATGCACCACCAATGATCTTCTTCTCCTTAATGAGCTTCAAAGCCTCTAAAATCTCTTAAATATCACTAAAATGACCAAAAACTTCAATGGGGGTTGAGATTAGGGTTTCCAGAGGTCTTGGGAGTGAAAGAGGCTAAGGAGAAGCAACCATAATCATCTTATACCTTTAAATACCCGAAAATTAGGGTTTTAGAGCATCAGGTGCTCCTCACGTCGTGAGCCCTTAATGCTCACGTCATGAGCCTTAAATGAACTTGGTCAACAAGTCAACGATCACTCACCCGAACTACTTTAACTTCAAATGTCCATAACTTCTTCGTTTTAACTCCGTTTTTGACGTTCTTTATATCCACAGAAAGGTGGAGAGAAGCTCTACACATCTATCAACTTATCCTCACCTCAAAACCTTCCGAACGAAAATCCAAAATTCATAAAGAGCTCGAACGGCCACTTTACCGATACACCCTCTTGGCTCCACGACACAACCCAATTCCCGGATCACCTCAATTACATTATCCGTACCTAAATGGGTATAGATCTCTCTTTCCAAAGGCCCTAAGCCTTAAGATAACCCATCTTCAAGCCACAGTCCCGAATTAGAAAATCGATTCGGAACAGGGCGTTACATTGAGTTAGCTCGGTTGGGTTGACTCGACTGGGTTGACTCAGTGGGTTTATTGTTTTTGACCATTTGACTTTGAGTTTGACCAAGTTTGACTTTGAGGGTATTTTGGATTTTGTTGGAATTGGTCACTTGGTGGATGTAAGCATTGAGTAGAGAGTCGAGATTCGGAGTCGGGTCTTATCAGTTCTGTTAAGCTTGTAAGGTGAGTTTTTCTCACTGTACTTACGGGTCGAAGGCAACAAGGCCGACCCATTGGTTTGATAACCTGATATTCGTTGATATGTTGAGTATGGAATAAATATGCATGCTAGTCTGGTAGATCTGTAGGACTACCCGTGATACAGTCTATTTATTTGTGTATGATATTATTTGTTATATGTCGAGATATTGTGTGGGTTGGGTTGAGGTTGTACTGCTCCGTGTTGTAGCCAAAAAACCCTGGAGCAAACCAGATATGAGCTGAGGGTTGGGGAGGGCATGCCAGACTCATACTGAGGGCTCATAAGCATTCCAGACATGAGATGAGGGCAGGGAAGGGCATGACAGACTCATACTGAAGGCTTAGTGGTATTCAGTCTGAGGACTGATTGGGTCGGGGAGCAAGCCAGACATAAGCTGTGGGCCCTAGGGGCAAGCCAAACTTATGTTGTGGGCTCAGGGAGCAAGCCAGGCATAAGCTGTGGGCCAAGGGCAAGCCAGACTTATGTTGTGGCTCAAGGGTAATCCAGTCTGTTAGCTGTGGACCCATTGCATGCTGTTATTGTATATGTGTTATTTGTTTGTGTATTGGTATTTTGGGGGAACTCACTAATCTTTGGGCTTACAGTTTTGGATTATGTTTCAGGTACCTCAGAGGATCGCGGGAAGGCGAAGACGTGATCGTTCACCTCCTCGAGTTTTGTTTTATGATTTTGGGAAAAACTCTGATAATGATCATATTTGAAAACTATTATGTAAACAAGGATGATTTATGGTTTGTTTTAACAGTTTAAAATTTTCATGAATTTTATGGATGTTACACTAGCTATTTTAGCTCTTGAGGGCAATCCAAAAAGGAATTTGTTATTATTCCCAAAGTTATACAAATTTAGTTATGACATTGGACACCTATTTCCATCACTAAGTCCATCTGTCGGGATGCCCTACGACCCATTCCTTGCGCGCTGCGCGCTGGAGGAATTTCTTAGATTAATTCTTTTTGTGCTTCTCGCTTCGCTCCTTACTTCTACATTTCCTTGGACTTTAAAACCACCAAACATAGTATAGAAAAACTCGATCGAAACTCGGGTGTTATAAGTCACCAATATTCGATAATATTTTGTCAGGAAAGACACCGAATGATCCTTTCATAATGAATGAAAACAAACATAAGTTTGGGTATTACCTTACAGATGTAAAATATCTTACGTTTGGGCATTCAATGACACCCAACAGAACCAAGAGAAAAATTCTTCAAGAGAAGACAAGAAGCTGCATATAAGGATGTGGAACATGCTTTTGGAGTTCTAAAGTCGAAGTGTCACATAGTAGAACATGTGACACAACCATTTGAAATATAAAATCTACGTTATATTATGTATGCATGTATCATAATAAATAACATGGTAGTGGAAAATAAATGACGAAATATTGCAGAATATATGCCAACAAAGCCCCGGCACACACAGTTTCAATTAGGTTCAACAAAATATTTGCATAGAGTTGTTGATATTTAAGACACGCAAAAACACGAGCAACTTTGACAGGACTTGGCGAATCATATCTATGGCGCTAACGATGATGACGAGTAATGTATTTAGAAAAAAAGATTATGTATTTTGTTTGGTCTTGTAATGTCTTTTTTCAATTTAGATGTTATGCTTTTATTTAAATGATATGTTTTTTAATATTATAGAATTTATTTTTATAAATATTGAAAAATAGGAAATAAGAAAAAAATAACACTAAAAAAATGACATGAAAACTAAAGTGGTGTAAAGGCAATTCCTACCTAAAATTAGGGATGTCAAAAACTTCTGTGGGACCCCGCTCCCGTGAGACCCCGATTCCATACAAGATAAATTTAAAAAAAAATCGAAGGCGGGGGCAGGAGTGAGTTTAAACCCCGTTTTATTTTCGGACTGGGGGCGGGAGTGGGTATTTCCGTCCCGTACTCCAATGGGACCCCCGCTTATATATTTATATAAAAAATATATATTTAATATAAAAATATATATAGACAATACATTATCTAATTTTAAGGTTGCTTGACTTTTTTCCACTTCACATCATACGACGATACGATAGTGAATTGGTCATATATTTTTGAACATGTCGTATTTTTTTTTGTAATGTTAGATTTGTCGTATTTTATATTCGTAAGTTTGTTGGATTTGTCGTTTTGTAATGTTTGATTTTTAATTTTTTTAGTTGTTAGAAAACTAGATTTTAAGCTTTTAAAGTTATGAAATGAAATTTTTTTAATCCATAATATAACAAATTTTTTTAGCAAAAAAAAAAGTCAATTTTAAGCATATAAAACATGGGAACGGGGGCGAGATCGGAGGTGATGAAGGTATTTGGGGTAGGATCGGGAGCTATGTAAACGAGAGATTCAGTAACGGGGCAATAACTGATTTCGGAAGCGGGGATGGAGGCAACTATTTCTGCTCGAGTTGACATCCCTACTTAAAATGGTGTGAAAGATGATATTATGGAAAGAAAGACTTATACACATCCGCCTAAGTTAAAATCTACCTCTTCTAATAAATGAAACCTAAAAATGACACGTGTCAGTTTTTTAGAATGACTCTTTGACACGTGGCATTTTTCTATGATTTTTATTATTATTATTTTTTTTGGTAACAAATCAAATTCAATCAAAAATTTGAAAATACAAAATCTTATCCTAATAACATTATTATTTTATTTTGCTTAACAAATTAATTCATAATTACCTACAATCGACAATATCTTGGTTTTTTTATATTTATTATTATTTTTATTTATATAGAAATTTTAAATATACCGACCGTGGTTTCCACGGGTTATAACCTAGTTAACATTATTTTAGTGTCGCAGGTATAAAAGTAAAATACTTTGTGCAAATATATAAATTTTCGAAACCTTTGTGGTTTTTTTACAAAAAATAAAAGTTATATTAGTGATAGTATCGGAATATTTAGAAAAGGAACTAAAACCCTAACCGTCTTTCTCTCCTATCCTTCTGCTGTCCCTTCTGCCGACACCGGCATCGCTCCCTGCCGCCGTTCTTCCCCTACTTTGTAAACAAACTGAACGCTCAAGTTTCATACAAGTGGAGGTAACCATTTAGAAATTTTCTTTGAATCAGTTGCTGGTTGGTTTTTTGTAATTAGGGTTTAACGATTTTTGTTGATTAACCCAGACAAATCATTTGGAAACCTAAAGAGCTTGTTTTTTCAGTTGTTAATGATCAATGTTTATGCGTTTTCTTATTAATGCTAAGTATTTGTATAGGATCAAATAGTTGTTTGTTTCTTCAATTCGATTCAAAAGACTTCCTGTTCGTAGGATACCTGTTACTAGTTTCAAAATAAAACGTTCCTGCGATACAAATACGAATTCTTTCATTGAATCACTTTATTTTGTCGAAGCTCTCCATTTCCAGTGAGTTCGTAATCAACGGTAATCGTCTCTGTAATGTGAAGTAGGTTTCGACTTAACTTTTTTCTATTGTAATCTGTAAACACTGATTACTTAACCTAATTCTTGATATGCACACTTCTATTCCCCTTTTGCGATATTGTCTTGTTTAAACAAGTAAACAAAAGTGCTTCATTCTCTTGTTTCCATTCTGATCTAAACATTCTTAGAACAAAGATTAACGGAGAGAAGACACAGTAACTCATATAACTCTTCATTTAAAAGTAGTCAATCAGCTTTCTGCCTTCATATGAATCACCAATCAAATTTGGATGATAGAAGCACGCCTTATTTACATACATATTACAACATATAGACATACACACAAAACTTTTACACAGTATACTGTTTTCTCTTATCATTTCATTAAACATCACTTTGTTAATCATGAATCCCAAATTCTTGACTTTTTCAAACAGGTGAATTTTAAAACCAGTACAAAATGCAGAATGATGAGGTTATATGGCAAGTTCTCAGGCATAAACACTGCAGTTATATGGCCAAGTAAGTGTTGGGCAATTTTGTCATTAATGTGCTGAAAAGTTACCTAAATGTTAAAACTGTTTTATCCCACTTTTTATTTTATTTTTATTTGTTTATTTTCTCAGAATTACTGCTGGAATTTTTTGTCGGAATGAGTACAATTTAACTGGAATTTGTAACCGGAGCTCATGTCCACTAGCCAATAGTCGTTATGCAACCATCCGTGATCATGATGGTACTCTTCTAAACCCTAAATCATAAGGGTAAAATTGTCATTTTTATAGTAAAATTATCTGGTTATATTCTTTTATTCATAACTTTCTATTTTGCAGGAGTCTTTTACTTGTATATGAAAACCATAGAGAGAGCTCATATGCCAAACAAGCTATGGGAAAGAGTGAAACTGCCTCGCAATTACGAAAAAGCCCTTGAAATCATCGACAAAAATCTGGTATAAAACTTTATTTATATCCTTTTGAGTTTCTTTAATCGAAATTAAAAATTAAAATTGAGTTAAAATCAACAGATGTATTGGCCAAAGTTTCTTGTACACAAGGCAAAACAACGGTTGACTAAAATGACACAAATGCGTATACGCATGAGGAAGCTTGCCCTTAAAACAAGGTTTTTTTTTTTAAAAAAATATCTTAATTTGTTTTATTTCCATAATTATAATTAAACAAAATATATAAACTTGTTACTTTTATAGGGAAAAGATAATGACAACTCCTAGAAAAGAAAAGAAGAGAGAAGCTAGAAGAGAGGAAAAGGCTGAAAAGGCAGCAGTATTGGACAAGGTTACATTTTTTATTTTTAAAAAACTTGTAAAATATTTCAGCCATATTTTTTTTTAATAAAATGTTTTCACAGTTTTAATAATTAATATTTCTATTTTCCAGAATATTGAAAAGGAATTGTTAGAGCGTTTAAAAAATGGAACGTATGGTACTGAGATAGTTAATGCTCATGCTGAAGCATTTAATAAGTTTATTGAACAATTTGAGGGACCAGAAATGGATGTTAATGAAGAGTACGAGGTTTGTTAGTAGAATTTATTTTTCCCAAACTACCCTTTTGTTTTTTTTCTTTTATTATTTTGTATAAATATAAATATTTTCTGGAAAACAGATGGAAACGGAATTTGTTGAAGGCGAGTATGAAGAGGAAGATGATATGGAGGATTACAATGGTCTTCCAACCGGTTCAGATGACGATTGTAAGTCGAGGGCGATTTTGTAATTTTCTTGAGTTATTTTATTAATTATTAATTAAACTTTAAATGGATTAGTGGATGATGGAGATGAAGATGATGATGATGATGCTGAGGTGGCAGTAGATAGAAAGCGAGGAAGGAAAGATTCCAAATATGCTCTGAAGAAGCAGGAGAGAGATGCTAAGAAGAAGAAAGGAAGAGTACTTGTTGAGGTAAAACTGTTAAAACAACAAATTACAATGTTTATTTTTTCACATTATGTGTAAAAAAAAAGTAAAGAGTAAATTTTTTTTTTCAATTTGGTGATTTTGGTAGGTTGAGCATGAAGATACAAAAACAAGGCAGAAGGCAATTTTATGAGTGTGAGACTTTAAAAGCTTTTAAATTTTGATGCTCTAAAAATCAAATTAATGCATTCGTGTTGTAAAAGTTTTGATCTCCTTTTACTTTTGACATTCTTTTTCTTATTTTTAATTAATTCGTAGGATGTTTTTTTCTTTTATCAAGAGTTATGTTTTTTTAAGGAGGAAATTCGAGTATTGTTATTGATGATCAAATATTCTATAAAATACTTAAAGTAAAGGTGGTATTTTTTTTATAGGGTGTGTATGGCATGTAGCTTATAGAAGTTTTCATTTTATTGGCTTTCAAGTAAAAACTCGAAAAAAAAAATAGAAGTTTTCATTTTATTAGCTTTTAAGTAAAAACTCGAAAAAAAAAAACTTAGTTCGTAGGCTTTTAGCTAAATCAAAAAAATTCCAAATCTAAACTACTTCAAGTAACTTTTAACAAAAAAATTCTTTATAATTTTGTAAATTGATTTAATTATCCTTTAAAAAAGACAAAACTGCAAATTTGGTCCTTGTGGTTTGCAAAAATCTTTGGATGAGGTCCAAAAAGTTTACAGCTTGCACAGAAGATCCAAAATCAAGGTTTTTCTTGGGTTTTTAGTCTAAAAAATTTTGAAAAGACGGTTATACCCTTATTTATTTACTTTTATATTTTTTTTACATTTTATTAACATTTCAATAATAATAATAATAAGAAAATAGGTAAAACTCTATCTCTCTTATGTCTCTTTCTCCCTCCCTCCACTGATATTGCTCTCTCTCTCTCTCTCTCTCTCTCTCTCTCTCTCTCTCTCTCTCTCTCTCTCTCTCTCTCTCTCTCTCTCTCTCTCAGTGTATTTTCATTAGAGATTAAAGACCCATCGACGAATTCCCCTTCTCCGTTCTTCGTGCCACTGAGTTGTGCTTCTCCGCTATTACTAGGGTTTCATTTCTGGATTCAAGACCCACTGACGAGTTCTCCAACTCCGGCGATAGCTCTAGACATGTATCGGTGGTGGAAGCTCCGACATGTAGTAGTTTTGGGATCGCAAACAGAAGGATGAAAACATGGAGCAATAGTGGAATCACTATTAAACCCTCTTTTCAATGATGTATCCTTCAAAATCTCGATACACTTGAGTCAATCCAACCTCATTTCTATGCAAACCGTCTTATTGCAGTGAAATTATGGAACCCCCAAATGGAATATGGTTTAGACTGAACACAATCACAATAAATCGAGAAAAAATTGAAAACCCAGATGGTCGGTTTTCCGGCGCGATCCATCGACAGCAAAACCTCATCGGGGGTTGTTGTCTTCGATCCATCGAAAATAGTGGGCATGGGAAGCATTTTGGTGATTCTTCTTCAGTAGGAGGGGTTGCAGTCGACGTCTCCGACAGGCCCGTCGTGGCTTCCTTTCTCATCGTCGGTAGTGAAGGAGTCAGGGGTGTTTAGGTGGTGTTCCTCGACCAATCGCCACGGAGGAAGGGGGTAGCTCCGGTGCTCCACTCGACTGCTTTCCTTCTCGTTGTAGGCTGTGGATTTGAGCAGTAGCAGTAACGATCAAAGGGGGGTGTTTGCCTGAGATCAGTGAGCAGATTAGGAAGAGGAGGAGTACTGTCATGGTGGCGATTGGTGGTCTCCTAGTTCCACCGGTTTCCTCCTACGCCAGAGATGCATAACTAGTGAAGGGAGTTAGAGAGAGAGAGAGAGAGAGAGAACGTATGGGTGGGTGGGGGATAATATATTTATTTTCTTTTTATTTTTAAGACAAAATGGTATTAGAATAATTGTAAAAAATAAAAAAAAAGAAATTAAAAGGGTATAATCGTCTTTTCAAGTTTTTTTGGACTAAAAACCTAGAAAAACCTTGATTTTGGACCTTCTGTGCAAGCTGGAAACTTTTTGGACCCCATCTAAAGATTTTTGCAAACCACAAGGACTAAATTTGCAGTTTTGTCTTTTAAAAAATAGTAAGTTATTTTATGTAATTTACATGTTTTAAAAATTTTAGTTAATTTTGTTTAACATGTAGATACAAATAAAGAGAAAATTACAAAAATAGTCTAATCCATAATTACTTAGTAGAAAATAGACAAAAAAACTCAAATTACAAAAATAGCCATCAAAATCGCAGATGGACTCAGTCCAGCTGCGATTTTACTTGTCCATCTGCGAACGTACAAGTCGCTAAAGCACATCTGTGCTTTAGCGACTTGTACGTTCGCAGATGGACTCAGTCCATCTGTGATTTTGCGTCCATCTGTGATTTCCCATTTTTCAGGGGTATAAAAACCTAATTTTTTTTTTCTTCTTTCATTTTTCAAACTTTTTTTTTTTGGAGAATTCTCTCTAGAGACACTATGAATGTAACACCCGTTTATTTATTAGATAAATAAATAAATTAATGAACGAATAGAAGCCCTAAAATAAATAATTATATACCAAATGATGGTCTCGTAGAGCTAATTGTCACACTTTAAGAGATTAGGGGTTAAAAGTGTAAAATCCGGACTTAATTTGTAAGTAATAATGAAGGCAGGGACTAAATGCTAACTTCTGGGACTTAAATTGAAGAGAGTTTGGAGGCTTAGGGGCTGAATGGTAATATATGGATTTCTGTTGAAAAGAATTTGTAGAGGAGGGGCTGCATAGTAATTTTCAGGACTTAATTTGTAAGGGTTTTCTGAAGGAGGGGTTAGAAATGTAAAATATGGATCTATTTCGAATTAAATTGGAGCTGGAGGAACCATTGTGGTCATTATGGCAAAATAGTATGAGGAGCCGGTATATAAGGGTTATGAAACCCTAACCCTAGCCTCATTTGTTCAGCCGCCAACTTCATCTACACTCTCCTTCACCCTCCTCGGCGTCGCACCACCCTTATGTACCCCTCACCACTGGCGACTGCCAAAACTGTGGGAGTCGGAGGAACCGCCACTAGCTGTTACGCTAGTCTTCCGACTAGTTGAGCCACCAAGTGAACGGAGCACTACCGCCGATGTGTCGCTGCCGGCGAGACCTTGCACTGCCGTGTTTTCCTTGGTCTCAGAACGCCGCCACCACTTCAGTCGCCAAACGTCGCAGCCTGCCCCCACGACGAGCGTCACTGCCGCTGTTGACGTTCTTCTTTTGCCTTCCGTCGTTGCCGCTGTCGTTCGCGACCACCACGGCTGTTGGAGTTGTTTCTAATCGTTACTACCCTTCTTATTCTATTTATTCTGTCGCCATGTCCGCCGCTATGTGTTGTTGCTGCCGGAAAAACCCAAGGAAGAACCACCATGGCTGCCGGCCATGGTGGCTTCCACCTCAAGGACCGCCATAGCGGTTGTGTATGCTGATGTATGGGTTAATTTTGTGTGTGTGTTTATTTCCTTAGTGTGTGTTTGGCCGGAATTCTAGGTTCAAGGCACCACCACCACGGTGAGGTGGTGGCTGCCACCGTGTACCACCACCGACCACCACAAGGGTGGTTGCGGGTGTGTGTTCATTTAGTATAGTGTGTGTGTTTTTCATGAGTTCATTGTAAATTGTAAAATTGGAATAATGAAAGGAAAATCAAAACCACCACCTTAGGGTGGTTGCTGCCGCCTCCTACCGCCACCGGCCGCCGTGTCGGGTGGCGGTGTGCTTTGATGGTGTTTGGACTCGTTTGGATGTTTGGACAAGGGACTAAGAAACCCTAATGGGCCCAACGAAGCTTAATGGACCCAAAAGCCCAAACATGTGACTAATGGGTGTAATAAACCCTAATTGGCCTAAGGAAAACCCTAATGGGCTTAAGGACTTGGTTTTGGGCCTATTGGGCTAGGATGGGATTGGAAACCCAAATTAGGGTTTAGAAAACCCTAATATTGGATTTATGGGCTTGGACTTATTGGGAGCCACTTTTGGGCCATTGGAATGGAATTGTGTGATTAAGCCCAATCACACCATATGACTTATTTAGAAGAATGATGGACTTAATGGATTAAGTCTTTAAAGGGTTAAGTGAGAAACACTTAACCCTAATCGTCATTTTATGTGAAACCCTAATTTCACTTGGGTATATTATTGGGCCTAAATGATTGAGATAATAATGGACCATCCAAGAGCAAGCAATTGAACTAGAATAATTTAATGGGCCTAGGGTAAGGCCCATGTAAGGGGTTTAGGCCCAATTTGGAAAATTCGGCCATAGATGGGCCATAGTTTGGGCCTTAATGATTATATGATGTTGGGCCTTAGAATGAGACCATGTAAAGGCCTAGGCCCAATTTGGAAAATTGGGCCATGTATTGGGCTTTGATTCCCAATTGAATTTGGGCCTATGGATTGGGCCCTGGGCTTGAATAAGCCAAGCTAGGGGTAATGTAGTAATTACCCAAAGAATGTACTTATGGTTATGTAGTGGGACCCAATTATTAATTGGGTGTTATTTTGGTGTTGACAGTTCGGGAATCTGTCAGCCAACAGCTGGGGTTGAGTCTGCGGGACTTTAGCAGAGTGGGATTGTGTCTACGGGACTCCAGCAGTGTGAGGTGAGTTTCCTTCCAGTAGGAACGGGTCTAAGGCACCAAGGCCGGCCCGTATAGACGATATGTTAGTATCGGAGTGTGGGCAGAGCCCGTATCTCATAGTTGAACTTGATTATGATATATGCTTGTACAATAGAATTATTTATACTCGTTGTCTGTGTGATACTTGTATGTTATGGTTTAGTAGCTAAGTGTGGGCGATGCCCGTATCTCAGAGATAGTGGAGTATGGGCGAAGCCCGTATCTCCCAGCTAGCGGCGTGTGGGCGGGGCCCGTATCTCCATGAGTGTGGGCGGGGCCCGTATCTCCTAGTTGTTCCTTATATATGTATGGAGTGTGGGCGGGCCCGTATCTCCCAGCTAGCGGCGTGTGGGCGGGGCCCGTATCTCCATGAGTGTGGGCGGGGCCCGTATCTCCTAGATGTTCCTTATATATGTATGGAGTGTGGGCGGGGTCCGTATCTCCCAGCTAGCGGCGTGTGGGCGGGGCCCGTATCTCCATGAGTGTGGGCGGGGCCCGTATCTCCTAGCTGTTCCTTATATGTGTATGGTATGTGGTATTATGGGGAAGCTCACTAAGCTTTGTGCTTACGGTTTTCAGTTTTGTTTCAGGTACTCGTTTTCAAAGGAAAGGAGTCGGCTTGATTGCAGCGCATCACACTATGTTTTCCGCACATGAGATCTTTGGGATTACACTCTGATATGGTTTTATGATAATATGTTT